CACGGGCGGCTAGGGTTTTCGCGCGACGACTTGGGGGGAAAACAAAGAAGATTTGGGACGAGATTCTCATAGCTTATTTAGTAGTCTTAGTTTGGTTAGGAGTTCAAATAAAAGACATATGCCAATTAGTCTTTTATTTGGTAGGAAAGTCTTTATTCTCAAGATGTTTAGTTGCCTTAGGATTTATTTACTTGCATGGTTTAGGAGCTCTATTTATACTAGGATTAGATCTATTTGATATCTATAAATACCCACCTATGTACCATTCGAAAATAGGGTTGATGAGTGAATAGAAAAGTCGAACGTTATGTTCAAAGTTCTCGTGTGTTTTCTCTCGTGAGTTTACATAGATTTTGTGATAGAAATAGGACCAACATCCACGTTTCATCACAGTGATTGGAATAGGACCAACATCCAAGTTTCGTCACACCTATCGCGAAGTACGAAGGCGTCAGCGCGCGTATTAGCAGCCTAACGCAAAGGGACCAAGGCCGGCGCGGGTTTCGAGCAAGTCGAGCTAGGCGTAACACACGATCCTTCATCAAGCAGGCTGGCGCGTGGCTGAACCCGGTTAGCCGAGCCAGCGCCCGACCGCCCGCGCCAAGCCGACGATCCGGCCAGTCAGCGAATCTGCCGGTTCGACCGGCAGTTCGAGTCCGTTTTGATTCGTGACTTCTGGTATGAGTCTCCTTCTTGAATTTTAGTATTTTTTCGAGCCAAACCAATCCATTTAAGTATGCCAGTCTAAAATCCGGACTTAGTATATTTTTAGGTGACCATTAGAGCGTTCCCTTTTCATCCGGCTAAATGAGCGAATAGAACCGAGCATTATAACATATCAATAAGCATTCCGAACATATACTTAGCATATATTTGCTTATATGTTTATGTAGCTAAAGGCGAGTCGAGCCTTCGATAGCTACGTCAGTATTCAAGTACTTGCAACAGATATCTCTAGCATATCAGGTGGGAGCCTTTACAGGGCGTTACATTGCGCATTTCAGTTATCCTGGATAAGGTACGTGAGTAAGATATTTACCCAAACGGTTGAATTATCCCGTTTGTGGTCCAGTTATTTCTCCCAAGTGAGAGGCCCACGGTGAGCAGGCCGAGGGCCTTATTATTCACCTGGTGCCCGGTGGAGGCCAAGGGCCTTAATATCCCATTCGGGGTGTGCACACGAGCGCCCGAGGGCCGAGGGTCTTCTGACCATAGATTTCAGTTCAGCTCTTATATATTGAAGCCATGATCTAGTGCATTATTGATGATGTCCTATTCATTACTGGTCTTGCGAAGATGTAGGGGTCATGCACTGGATTCAACATCATGTATAATATATGTACCATGGCAGAGGTATGTTCGAGACAGTTAGTTCTCCCAGGTGAGGGGCCGACCTAAGGGCCTTTCGAGTCTCACCTGGTACCGGTGGAGGCCAAGGGCCTTAATATCCCATCGGGGTGTGCACACGAGCGGCCGAGAGCCGAGTAAGGGTCGTTTGACCAAAGCTAAAGTTTAAGAAAAATTTACAGTTCAGTACAACTTATTTATTTTATGCTGCTTTTAAGTTTATGTTTACAGTTAAGATTATTACAGTTCCAGTTTTCCCACGAGCATTCAGATGTGCTCACACTCCCACAGTCTTTCTTATTTCAGGTGTCGGAGTCCAGCGTGCCGGGTGAGCAGACGTGGCAAGGCGTGGTCATGATAGCCGAGGACATTTTTACGCACATTTTATGTCCTAGTTTTATGATCATGTATTATTCAGAGATGTATGCATGTATTTCTGTATTTCGAATGCTTCCGCTAGCCAGACTTAGACTGTGCGAGACATTTCAGACATTGCATGTGTGATTCCATTATCCGTAGCGGATAGTTTTGGTTGCATGTTTAGTTTAAGTCTGTGAGTAAGTTAAGTAAGTTTTATCTGTTTCATCCCGCAACAAGTTAGTGTTTTCAAAAACCAAGCTCGCACCACCTTTCCAAAACAAAAGCGAAAATTTTACTCTGATTCTTCAAAGCTGGTAAGGCGGGGTGTTACAACTAATCTCTATGATTTTAGAACTTAGACTCAGGAATTGTCTCAATGGTTGCATTAGTCAACCCTAAGCAGCCTTTATCCCTAAGAGACAACTCCTAGATAATGTGATAATAGCCCAAAAAACATTTCACTACATCAATGAACACAGAACAGTTAACCGCTATTTTATGGCATTGAAACTTGACTTGATGAAAGCATATAGTAGGGTGGAGTGGAATAGTATCTGATTTATCATTATAAAAATGGGGTTTGATATTGTATTTATTAGATGGGTGATGGCATGTGTGACTACTTCCTCTTTTTATTTCTTATTGAATGGTCAAACTGTGGGCTATCTAACTTACTCTAGAGGTTTGAGACAGGGAGATGCAATATCCCATATCTATTTCTATTGGTGTCTAAAGCTCTGTCTTCTCTTATAAGTATTGCAGCTTGCATAGGTGGTTCCAGGGGTCTGAGAATTTCAATGAGGGGCCCTATTTTTAACTCATTTGTTGTTTGTAGACGATTCTCTGGTATATTGTGAAGCTGAACCTAGTCAGACACTATTATTGAAGACTATGTTGAGATTTTATTAGTTGATCTCTAAGCATAGAGTTAATGTTGATAACTCTACTGTTCTTTTTCGTAAGAATACCCCAACCTCAACTCAACAGAGTATTTGTGAGCTTTTGAAAGAAATTTCAGCTCATTCTTCAACAAGATACCTGGGACTTGTTTTGGGAATTGGCAAATCCAAAAGAGAAGCTTTTGATTACATCATTCTGGCTATGAGGAATTGACTGATAAGCTGGAAGAATAAGTATCTTTCTACAGCTGGGAAGAAGGTGCTTATTAAGGCTGTTATCAATGCATTACTTGTTTTTGCTATGAACTCACAACATGGATTTGCAAAGAGATTGCCCAACTGACTGCACATTTTTGGTGGAGTAAAGGAGGGGACCAAAGGAGGGAAATCCACTTGAAAAGTTGGAATTTGATTAATTTTCCAAAACACAATGGGAGTTGAGGATTCCAGGATATTCGACTTTTATTTGAGGCACTAATCCTCAAGCAGCTATGGAGAATCAGCACCCAACCTGAGCTCGTGTATAGCCAACTTTGAAAAGCAGGTACTTCCCAAATTCCTCCATATTTGAAGCTCATAAAAAGCCTTACGCTTCCTGGATTTGGAACAACTGTTTGGATGTAATGCCAGTGTTTGTGAAGGGTATTAGGAATGAAATAAGGAGTGGGAGATAGACAAAAATTTAGGACCTTGGTTGGGTGCCTAAGATGGGGTTTAACACACCTAAGCATGAAGCTACTCTGGTGTTCCTCCTATATGGCTAAGTGACTTGAGGGATGCTAGAGGAAGGAAAGGGGTTGAAAGCGTGACAAGAAGTGTGTTCAATGAAGCAGATAGTACATCCATTCTTGAAATCAAAACTTTAAATCATTCTAAAGAAGATAGATGGAGACATATGCTAGATAAGAAGGGGGAATTCTCTGTAGTTGCATCTTATGCCTATTTAGTGGAGCAGAAGGCTTGGGATCTAGATATTGTAGAAGGAAGCAACTCAGAGAAACTTGACATTGTGGTCAGAGAGAGGAGTTAGGTGCTTGGGGTAAATGGACACTCCATATGGAAGTGCTTCTCAGCATCGAAGGGCAAAAAGAGTATGGAAGATGGCTCCTCTCCAATAAGATGGCATTAAGGTGGAAGGTTGAAGTTTTAAATAATGGTGGTGGCAAGTCTGTGCAATAGACAAAACTGAGACCTCTGAAGCAAGAATCCAGCTATCAACATACATTCTATGGTGGCTTTGGAGGTCGAAGAATTTATGGTCCTTCAACAAAGAACAAGTGCCAGAAGCAGTAATTGTCAGAGCTGTGACGGAGTGGCAAGAGTTCTGTACTCTCCCATTATAGAATGCTACAGCAAGTCCTCTGGTGGTGTCCTTTGTTGGCTATTTTCTTGATTGGCTCTTCTGTTTTAGTTAGTCTTTTTCTCTGTGTTGTTGGTAAGTCTTTTGGTATGTGCAGGAGTGTTGTTGTTGTTATTATTGTTAGTTTGTTCACTTTTAGTTTGGTTGTATGGTTTTTTTAGCTTGCTTTTAAATGGCTCAAGTAGTTTGACCTGCCTTTAGTCGGGAGTCTGTTTCTAGGCCACTTTGTAAGTGGTCTTCTCAGTGTGTTTTTGCTCTTTTGGGCTTGTATTATTTGACTATTATTCTATTTGCGTAATTTTAGAGTTCTTCTATCACTAGAAAAAATAAAAAATAAAAAACAAAAAAAAACTAGTGAAAATAATTGGATGGCCCAAATAAGAGTATGTTGGCGCGCGGGCACGCATACAAACACACAGCTCAAGCACAACGCACACAGCACACTATAAATATGCCCCACACCCTTTACTCTCTGTTTACTGCTTCACACATCCCTGCCATTTCTCTTCTTCCTTCCTCATGCTACAGAGTGAAAATTGAAAAAATACAAAAAAATAAAAAACAACCAAACTATATATTAACTCCTAGCATCAAAATTCACACCAAAGTTTAAATGATATTTATCATATTCTGGTGACGAAAAAACCGAAAAAATTAAATTGAACAGCCAGAACCCCCGTAGGCTTCGGTCTCCCAACTCTCCTATTCTCNAAAAGATACTGATAGAGAGACTCACTCCAGATAAGAACTTCTCATAAACAATCTAAAAAAGATTGTTCCGTATTCCAATAGAGTCATCCCGATTATTCTCCAAATATTGGAGTGTTTCACCACATATTTCCCCCCGATTTTTTGCTTCTCTCTCTCTCTCCTCCCCCCATATCTGAATCTTGAAGCAGTAGTTGTGGTTATCTGGTTAATCAAGAATTCAAGATTCCCAAATTAGTTAAACCATCCATCTATATGTACGCACACTCTGCCCCCATATTTTCTCACACTCGCTCACTCACTCACTCCTCCAAATCGCTTTCACAATGGATACGAATTGCTTAAGGGAAATAGAAGGGAAAGCCGCGCACGATAGACCTCGCCGCTGCGTTTGGGTCCCGGGCCCCGTGATCGTCGGCGCTGGCCCGTCGGGCCTCGCGGCCGCGGCTTGCCTGAAGGAAAAGGGGATACCGTCGGTGGTATTAGAGAGATCGAGCTGCATCGCGTCCCTTTGGCAGCTGAAGACTTACGACCGTCTGAAACTCCACTTGCCCAAGCAATTCTGCGAACTTCCGTTAATGCCCTTCCCGGAGGATTTCCCGAATTACCCTTCCAAGCAGCAGTTTGTTGGGTACTTGGAAGAGTACGCGGACCGGTTCGAGATCCGGCCCGAATTCAATAGGCGGGTGGTGCGGGCCGAGATTGACCCGGCTATTGGGATGTGGCGCGTGGAGACGGAGGAGGTGGAGTATGTTTGCCGGTGGGTGGTGGTGGCGACGGGGGAGAACGCGGAGGCGGTGGTGCCGGAGATTGAGGGGGCGGCGGAGTTTGGTGGGGAAGTGGTGCACACGAGCGGCTATAAAAACGGGGCTCCTTATAAGGGCCGGAAGGTTTTGGTTGTGGGATGTGGGAATTCGGGTATGGAGGTTTGTTTGGATCTGTGCAATAATGGCGCTAGTCCTTCTCTCGTCGTCA